TACTTAACAACAAAACAAACACAAGTGTAAGAAAATTTAAACATGTAACCAAAATAGGAAGTAAACAATCATTAGACTAATATGTTTAGTAAAGTTGAAAAGTAAATAAACAAAACATGTGTGAAATATTCTAGAAAAGTCAAATCGAAATTATATCAACTTTTACAAACAAGTAAATAGCAAAAACTATGAAGATAGTCTCAATTAAAGATTTAGCAATAGCATTACAAGAAAAAAAGCAAGAAATTTATAATAAACAAAGAAAAATCATGCTCAAAGCAGATATTAATATAGCAAAATATCTTGGTTTTAAGGATCCAAAATTAATTTGCAGCATAGTTGGTTATAAATACAAAGAAAGCAAGATAAAATACTCTTAACAGAAGAGCTTGTGTTTCTTGGAGAAGTAACTAAAGTATCAACATGTACAAAATTAGAAAGAGCAGCACAAATTCACAATAATCAAACTATTTTTGCAGTAATGGCTATTGATATAGTAAAGAATAAAATCTCACAAAAGACAGACAATCTAAAAAAAAAAAAAAAAAAAAGTAATAATATGGGAAAGCTAGAAGTTGTAAACAAAGAAAAAAAAATCATTAGAATCAAACTAGCAGAAATGAATTTGAATCAGAGCAAAGTAGATATATTAAAAGAAAATAATACAGTTAAAGCAGAGGAAAAAGAAGCTCTGTTGTATATGGAATGTGGTCAAGCAGACTATAGTATACAAATAGTTAGTGAATAAATCTCTTTGTCAAAAAAAAAGAGCTACTGAATGCAAATGAAATCAAAATAGAGGATAAAATATATAAAGAAGATATTTATAGCTCTATTTAAACACCAAAAAGTGATATGATATATAAGAAAGTAGCAGTAAATGAGAAATGTTTGTAGAATGGCAGCACCAAAAGGTGGCGTAAGATACATATATGGAACGGCAAGTCAATTAGAAAGAAGTTATAGGAACATGCAGGTGAATACATGTGTGAAACATGTACTGCTCTGTTAGGTTTACCTCAAAGATAGACTAGCTTAAGTTAGTAAGTTCTAAGGTAGGATGCAAAATCCAATGCGGGTAGATACAAAATCCACATATGAATAGTGAGTAATACCTATGGGTTAGAGGGCTAATGATGGTAGTTAAAACCAGATAGTTTAAATAGTACCCCCATAGTTGGAGTGCAGGTATGGCAGATAGTGACATTTCGGGTGGACTACTTAAATTAGACACCAAAAGTGCACGTGTGGCTTGATATACCATTATTGTAATTATACTATAAAACATCGTCTATACTCTAATAAAAAGTCCTCAGGCCAATGAGGTCACTTTAATACCAAAATATATATATATATATATTAAATGTTTTTAAATAATTTTTATATTTCAATTTATTTCTTTTTTAATTATTTCAAACTATTTTAATTTATTTCAAATTATTCTTTTTTTTTTTTTTTTTTTTTCAAAAGAGACCTTCTTGGTCAGCGATTTTTATTAAGTCGAGTTCAGGTATTATACATTTAGATGAAGGTACATATAGCCACACGTGCACCTTTTAAGTGCCTAATTTAAGTAGTCTGCCTGAAAGTTCTATACTATCTGCCGTACCTGCACCCCAACTAGGGAGGTACCCATTTAAACCCTCTAATCTTAATCTATTTCTCTGACGCCTATCTTAATGTGGGTGTAACTCACTACTAGGGTATATAGGTTTTGTAACACCACTATATAAACAGCCAACTTAGGACACTTTACTATTCTTGAAGGTAAGCCCATCAGAGCGGTACATGTTCTACACATGCATTCATCTGCATGTTCCGTAATATCTTCCTAGTTAGTACATGTTGTGCTGTCGACATCGAGTCCATATTTCAAGCTACCCTTTAGAGTACTGCCATAACTCGATCTGTATCTCAAGCCACAACCTTCCTAATTAGTTTCCCATTACGTACTCATTGCCCTTAATGGTTCACAACAACCCCAGTACCCACACTTGGAACCATTTCCTTATCCAAATTCTCTATCGGTCTCTCTCTTACTTATAGCCGGCAACCCGGAAGGGTTGGTCTGCCCAGGCTTTAGGTGCCTAAAAGATGCTCTCCCCTTGGTTCATACTTTCGAAGCGTATGCTCTTTTTCTCCGGTGTGACAACTCGGCGGTTCGGCTGGTGTGTCCTCCGCCATAGGACCTGGTCGCTCAGTTCTTTGATCTTAGGCCTGGTTCAGATTCAGCCCTTCTGTGGTACCATTGAAGATCACTGTTACATCCATATTCGGGACTTCCCAAATGGGTTTTCAGTTATGCCAGTTCCTCGGGTTTATTGCACCGAAGCTCCCATTACAAGATGGTGTAACCGAAGTTACAGATTTAGTTCTAGATCCAACTGATAAGCATAGCCGTCAGCCAAACACAGACCTATTTTTCAAATATCGTTGCTAGTGGGATTTGAACTCTAGACCTGCCACTTGGAGAGGGTGATGACTAGACCACTACACTAAGTCGCCACACCTATTTCGAATTATTTCAAATTATATATTGTAATATATTTTGTAATTTATCTCAATCTATTTCAAATTATTGCAAATTATTTTATGTAATATTGCATAGTATTTTAAATAATATTGTGTAATATATATTATTGGGCAAAATTTTGTGAATAACAGCAATTTGGCTCAACCAAGCAAATGATATTGGTTGACAAGTGCTACAAAGCGGCACTTGTCAGCCAATTATTTGTCCAGTTGAGCCAAATTGCCATTATTTACAAATTTGCCCAATAATGGTGTTATCTGGCAATTTATAACTATGATTGAGTAGGGAGTCACTCACTAAATTTGTTTTTTTTGAATATTGGAAAAATATAATTACATAATAATACATAAAAAAATAACAAAAAGAAATTTTTCATAATCATAAGAGTTTGCTAGATAATGCATAATATTTTACATAATATTTCATAATTTTATATTTTGCAATATTGTGAAAGTTATTATATAATATTATAGTGTTTTTATGGTTTGTAAATTATTTCACAATATTATAATCTATTAAATTTGCTGATATAGTACTAAACAATATACCATGGGTATTAAATAAACCCAAGTTTATAATAAATTTATTATTTATAACTTTTCTGTCCAAATTTTAAACTTGCTTTTATTATACAAAGCTAAGCTTCTTGCTATTTTTTCTGCTATTTTTATTTTCTTTTACAACTTTTTAGTTAATATTTTTACTGATTTTAAAATTTTCTAAATACAGTATAGTACAATGTAACAAACTTCTTCAAAATTTACACTTTTTTACTAAATATTTTAAATTCTAACTATTACAAATTATTTACGTCTTTATTTTCAAAACTATTTTTAACTCTAACTTTAATTTTTTCTTCTATAAACTTAATTATTTAATATCTATTCTTTTCTCTTTATTTCTTTTTACTCTATTTCTACTCTCTTTACTCTACTCTTAAAAGCCTTATTCCTTTCTTATTTATCCAATATATTCTACTATTTTCAATTGTTTTCCAATTAATTATCAAAATTCTTATTCAAATTTTTAATAAACTCTATAAGCAAGTATGAAAATCATACTGCATTAACTTCTCTATCTGAAAAAAAACACATCAAATATCCTCAAACTTTGCTCTTGCTCAACCCTATTTACAACTTCCTCCTCACCTTTATACTAAAGCCTATAATACATTTATATACAATTGCTTATGCAATTTACCAGATCAACTACATTTTGATTTAAACTTTTGCCTACCTGCTGGGTTTGCCAATCGCAAATTCGATATCTGGTCTACAATATGGGTCCAGTTCAGCATCTCTACTAATTTTATTTTAATTATTCAAATCTAGGTGAGTCTTGACCACTCTAGTAGGTTTAGATTGCAAATAAATAATTAGTCTGAACTCTTATTCTTGCATGTAGCTTATATTTATTCATTTGTACTGTATATAAATTGAGTTTTCATTTAGTTTTTCTCAATATGTTTACTTATATAAAATTACTTAATAAAGATATGAGCAAGGCCTCACCTTTTAAAATTTAAAAAAAATAAAAAATAATTCTGATAAAATTCACACAGTACAGCAACAATATTTCTTATCATTGATATTTTTTTTTTGATACAGATCTACGCAAATTAGTTTACAAAACCATTTTCTAATATTAGTAAAATTTTAGCATAACTTCTAACACTTAATAAAATTTATCAAAATTTTTTAACTAGACTTTTAAAAAACCTTTACTAATAATCAGTATGGCACAGCTTTTTGAGTTTATACAGTACACCCCATACCATGCTGATAAATGTCATCTAGACGTGCATTATTTTGACATCTATAAACTACATGACTCATAACAAACAAAAAGCTCAACATAATGCAGTCCGATGGAGAGCTATCTTTTCTTAATTAATTACGTATTAATTCATTTAAATCGAACCATCAAACAAACGATTTACCATACTTTCAAGTGTTGCAGAATCATATCTTATATATTTTGTTGGGTTCTTGGAGAATTCTGATTGTTGGTGTCTGTCAAATAAAATTAGAATAAATAAAGTTAGAAGCTTAGGCAGTATCATTAGTAATAATAATGTTTTCGGACAATTAGGCATTAGCGGGAAAATGCTGTTTCACTTGTTACATAAGGACCAGGCAGGGTTGGCACATTTATCCACTAGGCAAATGGAGAACAATTCCATTGACATTGCTCCATTGAGAAAGCTTCTGAATAGAGCCAATGGAAACCAACTGACTCCACTAACATCGATCTGTTTGAACTGTTTATCAACAACCGAGCTATCGGTATATGAGGTTAGAGATTAGAACTCCATTATTCATTTGCTTCGTTAGATTTTTCTATTGAAACCATTGCTCCATTGGGTTCCGTTCGCTCTATTAGTAATTTTCTCAATGGAGTATATTTCCTGGGTCCAGGATATATCATGTGATCATAATATAATCAGGGTATTAAAAGAATAACATCCTTACTTTTCCAAAAAGCGATTGTACATAGGTATCAAAACACCTCTAATGTCTCTTATAACTTGGTTACGGAGTTCAGGATCAGGCATCGCATACCCTTTATGAGCTTTGTAAAGTTCATCAAATTCTGTATTAAAGTTCTAGTTAAATAAAACGTTACAAGGTATTAAATTAGTAGTTTACTAAAGACAAAGGTATCATTCCGCATGAACTTAAAGTACCTTAAATTTTTCTTTGACCGTTTGTCTTTCATTTGAACCCAATGTAGTCTTTATAGCACCTCCTCTGACCCACGTATAATCCATAAGATTAGAGAAACATGATTTCCATCTATTTTTCCAAAATATATTAATCAAGCTTACATATGTTACGAATTATAATATGAGGGAAACAACATACGTATCCTGATATGCGTCGTTCCATTTTTTCACCATTTTATCAAATTTAGACTCAATCTCCTGATCTAGAACTGTCATGAATTGAGTCCTTATAGATTTTAATATGTAATAATAATTATTTAGCAAAAAGATAGAAGTCAACGTGGGCTTTTTATATGTTTTTGCTTTGCTATCAAGGCTTTGGGCTAAACACTCTAAAACGTCAGCTACATAAGCATAATTGAAAGTTTATTAAAAAACAAATACATAATTTATCGATGTAAAACAATATACATATATAAATTGAGAAATACCGAAATAGTGCTTCATGACAGCATTTCCTGGAATTCGTCCGTTCCTATCTCGAGAAAAATTAGGATCTTTCTCAGAAGCATTCCAATTACCATCGCCCAAAGTCAACAATGTTGATTCAACAGTCTCTGGATAATCCGTTAGTCGTTTTAAGT